TAAAAAAGTTATGGCAGTTTTAAGAAAAAAAATTGAAAAAATATCGAAAATTAGTGATTTTAAATTGTAATTTTTTGGAGGATTTCCCCCGTTTACGGGTAACGAGGAAATTTGTTTTCAATTTTTGAGGTAATGTCTTCAACTACTTACGATTTGTGATCTTTTAACGTATCGTTGAAAAAAATCGGTTCGGTCAGAGCTTAGAAAAAGTAATAACAGAAACACACAAAAAAAAAATAATAATAAACACATCATGGTAAAATTAATACCTTCTCAGTTTCGCATCAAAGCTAAAAAATCTAATGATTTTAATAATTATAATTCGCTAAGGACCAAAATTTTTTTATTTTCCTATTCTTTTTCTTCCTCACCTTAATCCCAACTACTTGGGGTCGGCCACCCTTATCCTAAACTTCCACTTGACACGACCTCCCACGTCCTCTACGCTCACTCAGCTGTCCTCATATCGCATTCAATAACATCTCTCCATATCTTTTTTGGTCTTCATCATCCTTTTCTTCCCTTTTATGAAAATATTTATTTTCATAAATCTTCTTACAGCTTCCAGTTTTTCTCTCCTCATAACACTTTGAACCATACATCATAGCTGGTCTCACTACAGTCTTGTAGAATTTACCTTTCAGCCTCATTAGTATTCTTTTATCGCATAAGACACCAGACGCTTTTCTCCACTTCAACCACCGGCACTTAATCCTGTGTCTTACATCCTCGTCCATACCACCACTCTTTTGCACAACTGACCCTAAATACTTAAAACTCTCCTTCTCTCCAGTCACGTCCTCGCCTATTGTCACTGACCTCCTCATTTCACCTACCTCGTGTTTTCCTTTGTCAAATTCGTACTCTATATACTCTGTTTTACTTCTACTTATTCTTAAACCCTCTTCTTCAAGAGCTGATTTCCACACATCTAGCCTATGATTAATTTCCTTCCATTTTACATTATATCGTCAACGGACAACATGCACCACGGCATCTCTCCTTCTCTTTCTTTGTAATTTCATCCAACACTATAGACAATTAGTAAAGTAAAGGCTTAAAGCAGAACTTTGGTGCACTCCTACTCTTACCCGAAAACCTTCTGTTACTCCTCCCACACTTTTTACCCTAGTACAAATTCCATCATATATATCCTTTATTATATTAATGTACCTTTTCGGGACTCCTTTTCTCTTTAATGCCCACTTTAGAACCTCTCTTGGAACTCTATCATATGCTTGCTCCAAATATATAAATACCATACACAGTTTTTTCTTCTTTTCCCTAAACTTTTCTATTAGATAATTTCACACAAAACACTGACTCCATTGTTGACTTACCAGGCATAACTCTAAACTCGTTTTTAGATACCGATGTATCATTTCTTATTCTCTTATCTATTACCTTTTCCCAAATTTTCATACTATGACTTTAATTAAATATCTCTAAATTAATGGGAGTATAATATTCGTTTTTATACTGAATTACACAGTAAAATTATGTCAGTAAAATAAAATATTTTTTAATGATTATAGACCAGTATATACTTTACTAAACCAAATTTAGCAAGTTTAGAATTTGAATCATTAAATAGAAAATTTTATGAGGAATAAAATATTCAATTTTTAGATTAATATGTGATTAGAAACTTTACTAATTACTAATAACAGTAAACTTAGAGAAAAATTCAAAATTTTATTTAAATCTCTATTTTTTGTATTTTTATTGTAATAAATCATATGCAACTCCTGGTGTTTAAATAATTATTTATATTGAAAAACTGCTCATAATACGTTCTGCTTGTTACGTGTATTATTAATTAAAATATATTTATTGATTATTCATAAGTGTCCTAATAATCAAACATAAATATTTTTCATATTAATTAGAAAGATTTTGTTATTATTTAGTTTATATGCGAAACTCTAATTGCACATTTAAAATCGGGCCAAAAATGGGTTAAGGAAAGTATATTTTGGTCTCTAATGAAAATTCCTTATAAACCAGTAAATTTATTTATAAGTAAAAACAATTTCTTTTGAAAAGTATTGCATCAAGTTTTTCAACTTTTATACACGTTTGCCATGAAAATAACAAATACTTTTAATTTTTTATAATTTCTCCGTAAAAATTACAATACTAAATTGTTAAATATCAATTTCATGCTACGTTGAAATACTATAATAAATATTTATTGATATATTATATTTTTAAATCAAAGAACTACTATTCAGGAATAATAAAAGAAGTAGGAATTGATTTTACTTT